TGGTGGTGGTGCTAGTCTGGTGTATTGTGGTAACTCTAGGTGCCTTCGTCCAACCGTAGTCTTAAAAGCTTCTGTTGGCACGTGTCCGTTCATCACATTTGCTTTTTCTCACTTGACCAACCGTAAGCAGCAGCACTCAACTGACTGATTGGTCCAATTTCCCCCCACCGGTGCATTACAGTAGAATACTCAGTTCACACTTGTCTTGTTCGGTTCAGTTATTGTAAACCATAGATAATCAATTGACAAATACGTGAGAAATATCAGTGATCATGCGTTTGTGCTCATCAATGATCGGAATCAATCAACTGGTCGCTGCCGAATTCAATTCGATCCAGTCATCATCACTGGCAACCACGGTGGCCACAACTATTGGCAACCTGTCCAACGCAATCTCAAACACAAAACTGGAAAACAGTCCAAGCATTGAGATCAACCGGGCAGGATACATTTCCGGCACGGAGACAGACATAAACTGTACAGATTTGTCCAAAAGTCAGTCAAGTCAGTCGGAACTGTCCGTGTCGCTTTGCCATCTGGAACGTAACTCCGCCAATTCAGAGGCTGATGTAGATTCCCTGTCCGAGTTCAGTCCACTACACAGTCGTCGTCGTAAACAAATCAAGCCTCAGCGAACCAAGGATACTGGTGAGTTTTATCCCAATCGGGGGGGGGGGGGGAGATGAAGGATCAATGACTTTTTACTACTAAACAAAAATCTGTGTGGTTTCTTTGTAATTTACTTCCTTTTATTGAATACACAACGAAACAATTTTCAGGAAGAGGGAAGCGGCCAATCAAAGGGCTACCATGGGGAAAGTGAGGCGGTGGTGGTGGGGTTCGAACACACGTCTCCCGAGGTGGTAATTTGGTGACGTTACCAACATTGAAAGGAATCTTGAGATATGCCCAAGTTCGACCCCCAATGGGTGTGTTTGTTATACGTTGCTGATCAGCCCTGAACCCCTCCCCTCACTAGTTTGATCTATTTCATGATTTCAGAGTTTAGTAACACGTTGGTTTTACATGACAAGTTCGCAGTTGCACATTGGTGTTCCGTTTGGGAAAGAGCATTGGTTATCATATGGGCTAATATCATAAAGATTACTCGTAGCTGAACTGGCAAACATCTATTTTGCGAAACAAGTGTGTTCGAACCCAGTGTCCATAGCTCACCTAATAATTGATTCCTGGCTTCGGTTTCCGGTCAGTAAAAGCTATTCTATTTCGTAATTGTCTTTCTTATAGATTGATAGGAAGTTCCGTATTAAGCCCATCGAGAGATATAAACATCGATGGACTAGCATGTCGACAGACCTGCTCTTTGAACAGATAGAATTGAAAAGGAAATGGCGCTGCTGTATAATATTCAACCCATGAACCGTTCGGTTATGCTTATTACTCTGGCAGAACCCAGGCATGCTTTCCTATCTGCAAGCACATGCCCGGGTTGAAGGCAGGCAGTACTCTTATTGGTTAACCATCCTCGTTATATAGTCAGATTAGCGAACAGGAGTAGAATTCAGATAAAAAATGACGTGCGAGAATCTGTAGTCCATGGAGTTTCAATCCATAGAATACACTGGGAATTTGTATAGATCGTGAAAAGGCAAGGCGACTTAGGCAGGAAATGAATTTCCATTGTCTGGTCGTTTCAATGGCCCCTTCACATCAAATACTGGTAACTTAATGGGCGTAATGTTGTTCACACTCAGCTAAAACCAAATTCAATGTCTTCTTAACTAATGTAAGAGAAGCACATGCAATTGAGTTTCATCCCATCAATAAGATCTCATACATTAGATCCACCTAATAGATTTAATGTTTCTTCGCCGAGAGAACTATCGAATAGATCCGAGCGGTATTTTGCCTGTCTTTCACACGTACACGATCCACACTGCGAAGGATCGCGTGGACACGCAAGCACGTGTGCCCGACAGGCACAATTGATAATGCACTGTGCTTGGGCTGCCTATTCGGTGTACACTTACCTACCCCCACAGCCCGTTCCGAAGGCTAGGTGGGGATGGAGAATAGTCGAAGTAAGAAGAAGAGGCTCTGTTGTGCCTGCTCAAGTTCGTTGTGTTACAAAATACACACACACACACCGTGCACTTGACACGTTGCATACGGCGCAAAAAGATCGACAAGAGGGGTGTGAAACATTTGGTGCAGCGAAATACCAACGATCGCATCGAGTTTCGAAGTGACTGCTCCAACTCCAAGTGCGACTCAGAAAGCAGGAGTGGCACGTGTTGTCTAACGCACGCACTCACGCACGCACGCACGCACACACAGCGGGCACTTAAGTTAATTGACACCTTTGATACTGACAGATGAAATTTCGGTAGTACTAGTTCCATGAAATTCATTGAATGTGACAACCACGACAGATCGGAAAAAATATTTTGTGACGGGCAAACTAGAACCTTGTGAATTATGATCGAAAGTTACCTGTTGCATAGCGGTGCTATCTAGAATACAGTGTTACGAGCAAGATCGATTTTACTGGGGATGAAATCTTAAATGAGTCAACGAATATAAACTACTGATGAATTCCAATCTGAATGAAACATATCTGTTTTTTCTTGTGTGCATGACTGAATGGATAGATTCAGTATTGTGAGTCAAAATGAAAGACGATCAGAAAATATCTAAAATTATGTCCCTCCACTACTACTCACGATCAGTTGAGTTAAAACGTGTACTTATATTCGAATGACGATGCAGGCTTTTGTTTGAGCCAATCCGGAATTGAGTTGAAAAGTGATGAATATCAGCGGTACTCTGTGCCTTGGGTCAGAAGTTGAATTGGTTTGTGGGACCCAGTAAAAATCGACACAATCACTTCTCTCATCCTAGACTTGCAAAACTACAAACATTTAAATCCAGTGGCAATAAGACCAGGTTGCATAAAATATAGCAAATACCATCTATCCTACAATTGTCAGACCAATCATCTTTACTGTATTAGTGTTGCTTGGTGCTGCATCATCACCGCTCTATTTTCCATGCCCACAGAATCCATAGAAGATAGTTATTCTAAATTGGATTCATCTGAAGGAAACTTCGGCACAGTCACCGGATGTTCTGTTCGGATTCAGTTGCCTCGAGTAGCAGTCCTATGGAGTGGCACATTCCAATTTGGTTGTAGCACAATCGGCTTCGCCTGCCTTATAACAACGGAAGTGTGAACTGTCAACCCGGATAGTATTGGAGACTGTGCGATGTTTGGATCTCGTATCACCGATCCGAATCGGATGGGTTGGTGGGTCATAATGAGGTCAAATAGCGGCACAGGGCATCGCGCTCGCGCGACAACGCGCTGAATAAACAAAACAAGCACCCCGTGTGTGTATTCGCGGTTGACTGATGCACTAAGGTGCCTGCCCGATCGTGCACGAATTACCTTGATCAGGTGTTCATCATCCCGGCAAGAGTTGTGACAAATTATAAACGCATACAAGTGAACAAAGCCTCTGTCTGTATGTATTCGTTTGCCTACATCATAACTATGCAGGTCACAGTCGCACAACTTGACTGCATTCACAGAGCCCCGACGACAACGATAATGATGATGATGATTATGCACACGGCTATACCGAGAAGCGGATGTATAACGGCTTCAACGATCACCTGTCTGTTTGGTTAAATCACGTCGAAATAACACAAAGAAAGTGTGATATTTTTGTCCTCATGTTGATCTGCGTTATGCCTCGGGGGAATCCCGTAGTGCCGTTCCCTAACGTTCGATCCGTTTGAACAAACAAATTTCGGCTCACAAACTGCCCGCGTTAACAGTTTGGTATTTTAAAATGCATGCTATTCGGTGATGGATCCACTGATCACCAAACAAAAACAACAAGCCATACGCAACTGATTCGATTTCACTTTAAATCTTGCAAAATAATACAGGATGAGAAAACTAGTAGCCTGGAGGGAACGGAAAGGGAGTTGCTGGTGTATACATGCGTTGTATACTGTTCACAATGCGATCTATCCGAGCAGTTCATGACTAACAGCTCATCATTGATGGGAGGTTGTGGAAGTTGATAACAGTAGCTTCTAGCGAAACCAAAGAGTGTCCCATTGTTTGCACAAAAAGATGCCATTCGGTTAGGATAATATTCAAGGAAGACATTTTGTAATTAATCAAACAATGAGGAGAAAATTTCACCATTGTTCTATTCGGGTTTTCTATTGATCACCAGGTTATCGCTCTCCTCTCCTGTCCTTCTCAAATTCAGCAAATTGAGGCTGATGTCGCAAGCCAGTAACGGTGTGAGAGTATGCAAATATCATTTGAATTAATTATTATATCAAACGTTAGATAAAATTTATCTATAATTCGGTGACTGATTTCCCGATTATTTTCCTTCCCACAGATATGTGTAGCGGCTATTCTTGTGCCAAATAGTTTTGTTCTTTTTATTCCCCATGTCCATTTTGCTCCAAAAACCTCATTCGTAACTCTAGATATCACTCCAGATTTTCCCAAATAACCAGTACAATTATTCTGGAACAGTACTCATGGGCTAACTTCCGCATAGTTGACACCACGACAGATATCAAATTTTCTACCACTTTGTTTTGTGTATAAGCTTTTAGCCCACATAGAACTTCAGAACCATAGCAACGATTCTGTGAGGAGAGAGCTCGTTCCAGGATAAACCCTTAGGGTCTTAGGTGCAATATTCCTGGTGAAATACACTACTTGTGTTCGTGCACATACCCCCTGATCTGAGTTGAAATGTTCCTATTTATTGATTTGGCACGTTACCATTGTCACGTTCTACGGTTTGACAAATATTTTCTCGGGAGCAAAAGTGTAATTCACAGTGATTGAACCTGGGGCGAATACGAGCCCTTGCAAAGGAATGCAAAGTAACTCTCATTGAAATGTCAACTTCTTGAACCAAGGTGTACTATGTTCAATGTTTTACCAATAGAGTCAGAGAGAAAACCCGTATATGCCTCGTTACCACTGCTTCAGTGTATACTTTCATGTTGGAGCTACATAACCTATTTTTCGAAGAAAGCAGTCGAGCTTCCCTTTGAACGAACTGTCGTTCATTTTCACAAACGTGCTATAATACTCAACCATTTATATTGGATAAAAGTGATTTGAAAAGAACCGAGATCTATATATTTTTCCGTGAAAATAACGCAAAGTCAGCATGTAATTGTTGTTAGGGTCATGTAAACCGCCATACGTTTGTTCAATTACCTATGCGTGACACCGTTGATTTCCGACAAAAGATAACTTTTCATTCGAAGTAGATTTCAAAATCGTCCCCGTTTTTGCGAACTAATTCAGTTCCACAGTATGGGGAGTGGTAGCACGATAGAACAAATATTCAATAAGGAACTTTTCTCACAAAAAAGAGTAATTTCCTTCGAACTGGTACATTTCCTCCTAGCAGCTTACAGCATACAGTGTGAAATCCTCAAATGCTCCCACCTAGACGATTTTTTCTTTCCTTCTCAATCAGAAATCGTTCCGATCATGCGAATGTTTGCTTTGCATGACTTAACAGTGAGATAAAACGAATGTGTCTCAGTCGATTCTAACGAGCTTCAAACACACTAACTGAACCTGATTTCCACCTTCCTGTGTCTGTCGTCATAGAACAAGTTTTAAAGGAGATAAATGCTGTAAATGCAAATAAATCCGCTGGTCCTGATGGGTTATCCCCAGTGGTCCTTAAAACATATGCAAAACACCTCGCACAAACCGTTTCATTTATCTTTCATACATGTTTGTCAGAAGGAAGACTAGTTAACATATGGCGTGATGTGCGCATCACTCCACTATCTAAGAAAGAAAAGGGTAAGTTTCGGTCTATTGCCTTATCTTAAGTAGTACTTAAGACTTTTGAGCGTATTATTATTAAGCACCTATCCTCTAATCTTGATTTTTGTGATTTCAGTCAGTTTGCTCATTATAAGCGTCGCTCTACTTTAGATGCGGTTGATTGTCTTATACATTCTGTTTTATCCACTATAGACCAAAAACAAAATTGTTCACGTTTGTTTCTTGGACTACACAAACGCGTTTAACTATGTCGACACAAACATCCTATTGACACTGTTACGGCGAAATAATCTCCCGCCATATCTTTTGAATGGGATGCACGACTATTTTACCGACCGACGCCAATTCACTTGTCTCGATGGTATTAGGTTTTCTACTGTTACTGTAAACCAGGGTGTAATGCAGGGAGTAATTTCATCCCCTTTTCTGTTCTCATTTTATATCCAAAAGTCACCCTAAATGTTTTCACTTTTAAATATGCCAATGACATACCAGTTGGTGGTGCATCTCACAACAACAAACCGTCAACAAACCCCCTTCAATCAGACATAAGTTCCATTTCTGAATGGTTCGATGGTGTTAACCTTTCTCTAAACCCCAATAAATGCATTGAAGTTTTGTTTTCCATTGACCATAGGACATCAACTCTGTCTGGATCATCTGTTCCCAATATCTTGATCAATAACTTAGAAGTTGAAAGGTCAAAACATTTCAAATATCTTGGATGTTTCGTGTCTGCTAACCTCAAATGGTCCTATCACGTAGAACAAACATTTCTTTAAGTGAGAAAGTTGACCTTTTATATTTCACGCCTTCAGCATCTGAAGGTGTCATTGCTCATCATCTCCAAATTTATTTTCTCATGAGTTTTGTGCCATTGAACCTACTACTCTCCCGTTATTTTTCCCAGTCTACTGTCTAAGGAATTCATATTAATTAGACGCTCTCTGAAAAGCATCTCCAGATATGGAACTGTATTTTATGAGGAATTGGTTGATTCCATTGTCAACCAACACCTTAAGGCGTGTGCCCGTCTGTGTGACTCTATCTTGTCCGATTCGTCACATCCTTTACACACAGCTCTATCTAGCTCCATTTCGACTTCTGTAACCCTAAATAAATTTAAACCTTTATATACTCGTACCACTGCTTTTCACAACTCCACTGTACCTTATCTTTCACGTTTGTTGGTTTCTAAGGAGCGAATATCAAACGAACTTGTACACAGTCTAATGTAAATTTCCACGTTGACATTTTCCTTATTTTTTACGCGTTCTCAGTGTTCGATTCATTGTCATCTCAGTAACTATTTGTTATACCTTAAAGCTCATTCTTAATAGCGTGCAATGCCAAAACAAAAGCGATAACATACTTTTCACTGAAAATTCTGTCCTCATTGGATGAATAAAATGCATTCTTAACTTGACTTGACGTAACTTGAAAAGTGCGAATTCGAATGTCAAATCGGTTCACTCCTTGCCGTGTATTTAACATCAGCACCGATGGATATGAGATGCTTACCGATTCAAATTATCAGATCCCTTGCCACCATTTCGAACCATACACCTCCAAAGAATACCGTCATTAGTGTTGGTGGTGCCGGTGTGGTTTGGGTCGCAATGACTGACATTCAGTTCCCACCACCACCACCATCACCCAACTGTAGTGGTAGACAGCTTCGTTGTTGTCCTGCTCCAAACTACGCCTCTGTTAGTGGGGCTTTATATGGTTCGCTAATAAAAGACCTGGGGCTTCGGCTTCTGCTTCCCTTGAGTAAACAGCAGATCCTTGGGACTACGGGTATACCCCTTCCTCTGTTCATCACACGACAGTATGTAATAAAACAAATCAACGGAACCTTGGATGAACCGATAGAGATCCACAGAGCGAGCGAAACTCCAGTCTGGTGCTTTCCGAATAAACCCAAGATTGAGCATGAGGATGAAGCCTGATAAATAACCAAATGAAATCTAGGTCTCGTGAAATGCAAACGTGATGATTTGACATTAAATTTCAATAGAGATGAACGTTTAGAAGTAGGTGGGCGTGGTGACTCGTAGCAAGTAAAGCGGTGTTAACGTTATTCACTAATCAACAGCAGCTTTTTCTCTTGTGTCTAATGAGATAACATACATTCCACCTGTGTATGTGAGAAACAATTGATTTCAAAGTATTCATTTAATATTTTGCTGCGTTTAATTTTCTTTTCCTTCGACAGATTCGGTGCTCTTAGGTTGCTGATACTGGAATTTAGCGAGCAATGTGTCCGGGGTTATTCAACCCGAAACCCTTTTCCAGTTCCCAAGATTGGAAAATTCTTCTTAATAAAGATGTGACGCTAGATACTATACCCCCAACTGCATGGTCTATTTAAAAGGTGAAAGGAATATTCCATTCTAGCTGATTGTGAAGTGCTCTCATTTCTTTATTGAAATTAATAGTGGAAATACATGCCTCCAGTTCATATTTAATTGAGGTCTTTGCGGTCTGTTAAGAGGTGTTGTCATGGTTCATCACGGCCGACATCACCATGATCGTCATCATCAAACGGTCGCTGTAAGCTTCGGAGGTAAACGGTACGTGTGTGTGTGTGNAGGGGAGGGGGCAGAATGCACATATTTATTTTGGGAGAAGCACTCACCTCTTACCCCACGCTCCCAGCTGCCAATAGATTTATTAAACGGAACGGGAGTTCAGTGTGAATTCGAAGACAAGACCGAACACGGGGTTGACAGATGGCGTTCTCAACGCTGCAGATTACGATTTATAATATTTTAGGTTTTTCCCGTGGTTCCCGTGGTCTTGCATGTAGACAGACAGCCAGACAGACGTGGAACGAATAACCGGTGTTCACCACTTGGCAGCCAAATGATGCGTCTGAACAGTTAATGGGTATGCTCTTTTGTGTGACTGTATGCGTGTGTGCGCTAGGGAGTTTGGTCATGCGTTCATCAATCATTTTCTAGGAACTCGTTTTTTTTTAATATTCCTAAACTCGTCTGAGAAGTCCCCTTGATTTAACTGGTTTAACTGTTTCAAACTAAGCTAAGTGTTTCGACTTCAGAATCTAAAGGGGATTATGACTGGTAAATCTACAGGGTGTGGATTCATCAAATTCCGTTTGCGATTCTATCCTTTTATTTCGGAAAATCTTTTGTAGAGGAGAATAGTTCTTTACTAAGACCATATTTAAACATATTGTGATCGCTGACCAAAAATACTGTTCTATTAAACAGAGAAATTGCTGTTCTTCTGTAGCATTTGTTAGCAAATCACAAGTAGATAGCTCAGCGTCACCCAATTCGTTACCGCATGCGCCCTATTATTATTATTATTGCTGTTGTTGTTTTCGCCGTTGGTTTAAGATCGGGGGTTCTGATTCCGTCTGCACCATAGGGTATCTTCAGGATTTTCATCTTTTCCTGTCGAAGGACGTTCGACGAACTTAAGGCGGATATAGACAGAGGGGAAAATTTTGAAAGATGTGTTCACTACTAGCTGTGAACATGTCACTCACTGCTGACAAGTTGGTGTATTTTGTAATTTTCAGGCAGAGTCCCTCTCTCGTGAGCGGATGGTTATGGTACAATCTATTCAATAAGTTACATGAGGGTAGTGCTTGAGTTGAATCTTGAGTATAATAAAGTTCGTTGTGTATAGAGTAGATAAACCAAGAGTTGAATAGTTAGGAAGAAATGGACAGCTGTTTCAACCCGAATCCACCTCCTCAACCGAGGATCGAACCGGTGGCCTGACCTGTCGAACGCCAATATGTGGCCAACTTGAACACCAGATAGTTTTGCTATTCTGTCTGTACACAATGTTATACGATAGTGACAAAGGTTTTTTAGATTATATAGTGAATTTCGTCTTTTAAAGAGCAAATGAAGCATATAAGGAAAATGGAAAACAGCCTGGCCAGCTGCTCGGTGGTCGAGTGGGTGATATGCTTGCGTTTGATCTGTGAGGCCCTGGGTTCGATCCCTAATTGAGTAGATGGATTCACACTACTGATATATATATATATATATAGAAGTATTGACCAAACTCATGCAACACCCTTACTTTCATCACTTTTTTCCTCCAAACACACAGTGTCTCATTCACGGGATTGAATATGGCATTGCTCCACACCAGACGCAGCACAGGAGTAATAATACCCACTTATGTCTCTGCTTATTAGTCGTAGGATTCCTCGATTTCGACGACGGTTGCTGGTGCATCATTTGTAGAAAAACAAAGTCTAAAAAAAACCATACTAGAATTTATTTATAGCAATGACTCATAAGCCAGGTATTGCGCTTTCATTTTTGTCAATCATCATTTTTGTATGGAGTCCACCAAGTTGATTGTCAAAAATCATCTACCAGTTTCCTCCAATACATGGCGGACCCCAGACACTGACGACCACTGTCGAGGTAACTAACTTATCCCTGTTTCTAACACAGGAGAAAAGCCTTCGTTTATGTCCAAATCCCAAGTGCTGGGCAATACTTGAATGAATTCGACATTGTAATTGAACCGTCTAAAACTGCATTTATGTGGGGGGAAGGGAAACAAGAATTAACGCGGTCCAAACGTTTTTATGACCAACTTCGAGCGAGATGCGATATGAAGCTTTATCTCGAAAAATATGCTTTTTGCGAATGTATTTCAAGTGACAGCTATTGAAAACTTGACTCATCAGTGCAACAAATTTCGCGCTGTCCAGATTTGTATGTAGGGGAGACCAACAACAAAGCGCTCAGTATTTTGCTTCTCTCCCTATTCCTTAGACTGGACAGATATTTACTTCTTTTTACAGGTGCAATAAAATTCATTGGAAAATTAGCTCAGTAGATCAGCTTTCTTCGCCTGCTGTATTGCTCTGTGGCCATCAAGGAGATTTACCTAACGCCCAAAAGACGGGTGACACAATTTGAATTTGCTAAATCAATACATGTTCTGATTTGTTGTTGGACCTTTAATAACAGGTTAAATTTATTAAAGTTGGAAAATTTTAATTAATTGGCTCATTTACTGTGCACCGAATGAAAACAAGATA